CCACCACCACCACCACCACCTCCACCACCTCCACCACCACCACCACCTCCACCACCACCACCACCACCACCACCACCACCACCACCACCACCTCCACCACCACCACCACCACCACCACCACCACCACCACCACCACCACCACCATCATCAGGTAGTATGGCATACATAGTGTTTCAAGCCCTAGATTAGTTTTCAAAAGCACCAGTCTACAAACTTATTTCTGTTAGCCCTAAAACCATCCAATTACTTGACTGTAAGCCTCAATTTCCTCATCTGTAAAATGGGGAAAATAATAGTACCTAACTCAAGAGATACTTAGGATAATTAAATAAGATCATCCCGATAAAGTTTTAGCACACAGAACAGACCCTCAATAAAGTCCACTGTCGTCATCATCATCATCATCATCATCATCTGAAAAATTCCTGATTGCCAAGTTTTTTGTAATACCAGCCAATTCAAAGAGAGATTCATATATCTTACACAGAAATCTGGTGATGATCACCAAACATAGAGATGAATATGAATTATCAATGGACTACTTTTTCATCATGTGGAAATTGTCTTGAAATAAGCAGGAATGATCATATTCTCCAAAAGATTTCTTGAATCTTCTACTAATGAAAGGCTTTTTTTTTTCCTCGGTAAACATAATCCTGGTCACTTTGAAAAATTAAGGAAGTTGCGTTTGTTTTGTCCACACTGTCTTGATTTTTTTTAATGCTATTACACATCCTTCTTCTTGAACAAACTCCAGCCAGACAGATATTTGCCATTCCATTATTGTTTTAAAGTGTTAGCCCCAGACACATAAGCATTGTTGGAATGCAATGGAAAAAAAATGTTTTAAATCTCAAATGGGGTAATAAACTGCAGCCAGAAGCTAATTGTCCTGAAACCTGAGCTTTTATAACATATTACTACTGTAGTGGGACCACTCAGCACTCCTTCGGTGGGGTTGTTGTGTAATTGGTAGTAGATTACGTTGCAGACATATAAAAAAAAAAAGATGTCAAATCAGACATTTCTGCTTATTACTGTAGACCTCAGCATAATTCTCAAAGCAATCAATGCATTTCATCCATTAAACTATTGATGGGGGTTATTAATTCATATAATGTTTAACTACTCACTGTGGACTTTCTCTCTGCCAACTTTCTTCCACCCAAGAAGTCCTGAAATGTTGCCGCTCCTGTCAAAAGAAATGAATCATTAATAAGAACCAGCAAGGCCAGAGGCGAGCTAGAAGCTGGGCCATGATATATATATATATATATAGGCTTCACATTCTTTTAATTTGGTGCTGAACAGCATGTGTAAAAGGAGCAAATAGCCCAGTAGGGTTTTACCAAGAGTCTGAAAGAAACACAAAGAAGGATATATCCATCAAATCTATTTATTGAGTATTTAGGGATCTGAGAATACTTTTTATTTTTAGACAATACATTTGGTAGACACTTTAAGAGTCAACAGTAACAAGAACTTATAAGTAATACTCCAACTAAACTCTAACCCACAGGAGGCCAGGGCAATGATCACACTCATCTGCCAAAGCCTTAACAAAATCAGGCAAGACCAGGGAAGAGTAGGCCTATGTCCAAAGAAAATTTTGTGATAAGAATGTAAGAAATACCTCTTCTCCCAAGTCTTAATCTTTGTATTGTGTTACTTTCTGTTGTTTTTTTCCTCCCCCCAACCCCCGGCCATTTTGAGACTCTCCGCCTTCAGGGGAACGCTAGTACCAATGTGGGCTTACAAAATGAAGGTGTTTGGCTATTAGAAGAAACTTGTAGGTTCTCCTGGGTGGCTCAGTCGGTTAAGCGTCTGCCTTCGGCTCAGGTCATGATCCCGGGGGGTCCTGGGATCGAGCCCCGCATCAGGCTCCCTGCTCAGTGGGAGGCCTCCTGCTTCCCTGGCTTGTGTGCTCTCTCTTTCTCTCCCTCTCTAACAGATAAATAAATAAAATCTTAAAAGAGAGAGAGAGAGAGAGACTTGTAAGAAAAATAAATAAAAGTAAGAGACTTGTGTGATAACAAAAACCATGAGCTTTGAAGTCAGATTTGAATCTATAGTCTGGTTCAGTCATCTCCTTATTGAAAAATAATGTTAAAAAAAAAGAAAAAAAGAAAAAAAGAAAAAGAAAAATAATGTTACCCCCCTGAGTTCCAATCTCTTCCTGTATAAAATGAGGGTAATAATATTTATCTCACAGAGCTTCGGTAAAGCATAAAAGGAATAGCATACGTCAACTGCTGACTAGAATTCTTGGCACTAAGTTGATAATCAGTGATGGGCAGGGGATGGTGACAATGAAGACAGAGAAGGAAATATAGCCCACTTGGTCAGTGTGGACCTTCACACTTAAGTCCCCAAGCAGATCTGAGGCCTAGATCAATATCAATATCCTGAAAACTTCATTCCATCCTATATGGGTTTTGCTTTAGCCACCTGTTGGGCATTTGCCAGACTGATTTTTGTTTAAACCAGTGGAAGAGTAAGTCTGGCCAGAAGAGGAGAGTAGCCTTCATCTGACTAGTAGCTGAAAAGCCACGCCCAGTTAGAGAACGTGGAATAAAGTTTGGAATTCAGGCTGCCTAAAGGATTCTCTCAAACAGGCAAGAACAATTCCTTCAATCAAGTTTTGAATAAATCTGATAGTAAGGAAAACTTCTGTGGTAAGTGAATTATGGAATTGAACTTAATAATAATTTTTATATGTCTTTTCTTACCCTGAGAATAGTCAGGCTTCTTATACTTGTAGCATGTTTAAGATTTTACAACACATGTCTGAAATCTCAGCTGACACTCACCAATACCTCATGAGTTCCTTATTACTACCATCACCAATTTACAGCTTAAGCTCAAAGTGGACTAAGCAACTTGCCCAGTTGTCACATCACTGGTGTGTCACAAAGACACAATGACGTTGCCAAACTACAGGCACCAAGTCCAGGGATATTTCACTGGTTTAGAAGTGTGTTTATAATTGTACTGCTGAAGGCCACAGATCAACTTGAGTCGGCACCCTCTAAGTAAGCCTCTTAGGAAGTTATCTTTTGGCTCTGAAAATGTTTCATATACAAAGGTCTCCTGTTTTTTGAGGATCTTCTGGCTCTAAAATATTTTTAAATACACAAAACATGACTGGTTTCTTAACCATACTAATTTAATTTCAGGTGAATATTATTTATCACAAAGACGACTTTGCAAGTATTCTAGACACAGTGCCATTCATTCATACAACTAAAAATACTTTAAGCCTTTATCATGTGCTGGGCAGCTCTAGATATAAAAGTAAAAAAAAAAAGGAAAGAAAAAACAGGCAAAAATCTCTACTCTTTTGAAGCTCACACTCTAAGTAGGGAGCGATGAAATGTACAAAGTATGCTGTTATATTTGTCTAATGGTGTGAAGTTTATAGAAGAACAAGTGGGGAATGGGATTAGGGATTGCTGGGGTGCTATTTTAAATAGAGTTGTTTGGGAAGACTTCACTGATAAGATCAGAGGTGATCAGAAATCTGAAAAAATAACCAAGTAGGGTGACCTGTTAGAAAGATATTGCACTAATCTGGGTAAGAAATGACGGTGGCTTGGACAAAGATAGTGCGATAGTGAGAAGTGCTGGAATCTGAATATATTTGGAAGATAGAGCCAATAGGATTTGCTAGCAGATTAAATGTGGGGAGTGAGAAGAAGACATAATACTTGGCTTAGACTCTAAGAGGCAAGTGTCCACCAACTGAGACAGGGAAGACAGAAGCAGGAGCAGAGGTGGGAAAGAAAATCACAGTGTTACATTAAGTTTTAAGCGTCAGTTGGACCCCTAAGTACAGGAGTCTTGTGTGCAGGCAGAGAACTCCGGAGTTTAGAGAAGTCCTGGCTGGAGATAAAAACTTGTAAGTTGTCTGTGTATGGGATGCACTTAAAGCCATGAAACTTAATGACTTCTAGGGAGTGCAAGTAGATAGAGATGAGGCTCAGGGATGAATCCTAGGACCGCCCTATGGTTAGAAGTGGGGGAGTTCAGGGCGCCTGGGTGGCTCAGTCGTTAAGCCTCTGCCTTCGGCTCAGGTCATGATCCCAGGGTCCTGGGATGGAGTCCCGCATCGGGCTCCCTGCTCCGCAGGAAGCCTGCTTCTCCCTTTCCCACTCCCCCTGCTTGTGTTCCTGCTCTCGCTATCTCTCTCTGTGTGTCAAATAAATAAATAAAAAATCTTTAAAAAAAAAAAGAAGTGGGGGAGTTCAGTGCAATCAGCAAAAGACTAAAATGAAGATTAAGAAGGCTGTTGCTCAAGCACGTAGGACATACTTTTGTATCTCCTCAGGGAGAAAATATTTATCTTTTGTTCTTTTAGAGGTCAGAAGGAGAAGGTGAGATGGACTGGGGGCGGGGCCAACATTAAGAGAGCAACCAAATACAACTTGGGGCCAACTCTAAAGCAACAGAAAATAGACCAAACTGAGAGACACATGAAGTGTGATTAAGATGTGCTTATTGAGGAACCTCCGTACTGTTTTCCACAGTGGCTGCACCAGTTTGCATTCCCACCAACAGTGCTAGGGTTCTTTTTTCTCCATATCCTCACCAATACTTGTTACTTTTTCTCTTTTTGATTTTAGCCATTCTGACAGGTGTGAAGGGATATCTCATTGTGGTTTTGATTTGCATTTCCCTGATGATAAGTGATGTTGAACATCTTTTCATGTGTCTGTCGACCATCTGTGTGTTTTCTTTGGAAAAATAAATAATAAAAACAGAATTACCATATGATCCAGTAGTCCTACTAAGGACTACTGAGTATTTATCCAAAGAAAACAAAAATACTAATTCAAAAACATATATGTACCTTTATGGGTTTTTTTTTTGCAGCATTATTTACAATAGACAAGGGAGCAACCCAAGTGTCCATCAATAGATGAGTGAATAAAGATGTTATACACACACACACACACACACACACACACAATGAATTATTACTCAGCCATAAAAAGAATGAAATCTTGACATTTGCAACAACGTGAATGAACCTAGAGGGTAAAATGCTAAATGAAATAAATCAGACAAAGAAAGATAAATACCATATGATTTTAACTCCTATGTGGAATTTAAAAAACAGAACAAACAGAGACAAACAAAAAAAGATTCTTAAATACAGAGAACAAATCGGTGGTTTCCAGAAGGGGGGTAGGTGGGGAGATGGGTGAAATAGGTAAAGAGGATTAGGAGTACACTTATTGTGATGAACACTGAGTAATATATAGAATTTTTGGATCATTATTTTTTGTATATGAAATTAATATAACACTATACATTTAACTGTACTTCTATAAAAATTATAATTAAATCTTTTTTAAAAAGATGCCTCTATTGATTTCCCTATGGGGCTCTTAAAATGACTCAGAAAGCAAACATGTTTGCAAATTTGGAAAACACTGTAGATCATACATAGAACCCTCATACTCTACTCCTTTTTTATTTAAGATTTTATTTATTTATTTGAGAGAGAGAAAGGGAGAGAGAGAGAGTGTGAGCCGAGGGGGAAGGGCAGAGGGAGAGGGAGAAGCAGATGCCCCCCTGAGCAGGGAGCCAGACACAGGGCTCGATCCCAGGACCCTGAGATCATGCCCTGAGCCGAAGGCAGACGCTTAACCGACTGAGCCACCCAGGCGCCCCCTCATACTCTACTCTGGATTGAGTACTCATTTTTCTTTGTTTTTCTCTACTGCGTCCTTTAAAAACAGCAACGTAATTCCATGTTCCCTTATCTCTACTCTCTTAAGAAATTTCTCATTTTGCCCCAAATTGCCTGATACCAAAATAAGGAGTCCTTGAGGGCTTAGTTCAAGTTGAAGTGAAACGTCCAGGTCCTGTTCACGGTGTTTGTATGAGACATGCCCTTAAACAATGACTGGATGTACAAAACACTTGCTTAAATTCAGAGATTATCTCTGCATCATGAGTTCATATGCCTTCTCCTAATTTCAAAAATCAGTGGGAAAACAGTTTAGCACTTCCTCAAAATGTTACACAAAGAATTTCCATAGACCCAGCAACTCCATTCCTTGGTATAGATATCAAAGAGTTGAAAATTTGTTCTCAAACACATATTTGTACACAAATGTTCATAGCAGCACAATTCACAATAACCAAAGGTGTAAACAATCCAGATACCCGCCAATGGATAAATAAATAAACCAAATGTGGTATCTACATGCAATAGAGTATTACCCAGCCATAGAAAGGAACAGAGTACTGATACATGTACAACATGGATGAACTTCACAAACATTATACTAAGTGAAACAAGCTGGATAAAAAGGCCATAGCGTCCATTTATGTGAAATATCCAGAACAGGTTAATGCATAGAGACAGAAAACAGACTGGTGATAGCCAGGGACTGAGAAGTTACCATTTAACAGGGAATGGTTTGTGTGTGTGTGGGGGTGGGAGGGTGGGTGGGTGGGTGTTTGTTTTTGTTTTTGTTTTGTTTGGTTTGGTTTGGTGAGGGGTGTTGGGAGGTGAAAATGTTTTGGAACTTGACATTGTGGTGGGCGTGCAACATTGCGAATGTGCACCATTTGCACACACTGTTGCATTATACGTTTTAAAATGGTTATGTGAATTTTATCTCAATTAGAAAATACGAGAGGATCCACTCTAGATCAGAATTATGTGTATATAACCTATATATTTTTTCCTTACTTTGGGTTGCATAAGCTTCTTTCACCCTTCTTCCTTACACGCCCTTCCTAGAATTGCTGACTGGAACTAGAAATGCAACTGAAGTCTCAAAAACACAATTTTCCCTAGCACAAAGCTAAATCCCCATATGTGGATTCAATCTTCCCCCTGACTCCAGAACACTTGGTAGAATGAAGCACTTTCAGCATGCTTTAAAATGCTCTGATTTTTTAATTTTGAAGTGATTTCAGACATATCAAAAGGTTTCAACACAGTGCAAAGGGTTCTTGTACATTCCTCATTTAGATTCCCTACGTGTAAACATTTTTACATAAAACAAAAAATATAAAGCATGTTTTACTGATAAGACAAATGGGTAAAATATGCATATGTATGTGCATTCAGGTGTACATACACGTATACTGTCTATATATGCATTAAATATTTTTTTCACATATCTATATCCAACATCTATGTGTTTCATAGACCCATATATGTATGCATGCATAAACGTGTGCATTTATCTATTCACATGTATGTGTGTGGATGTATATATAACCACGGACATGTATATATGTGTATATGCATGTACACACATCATATGCACATGTATATGTATAACTATGTATGTAGGTATATACACACATCATCTTTTTTTGAAAAGACATGTTGCCTCTTGACTCATATACACTCATTTCCTAAAACCAAGGACATTCTATTGTATTGCTACAGTACAATTATTAAAATCAGGATACTAATATTAACAGTACTAAAATCTAATCTATAGCTCTTTTCAAATTCCAGTACTTGTACTAATAATGTACTTTTTAGCAAAAGAAAAAACATAGAGCTGAAATCTATGGAATAAATTGGAATGAAATGGGAAACTAGAAGTTTTTGAAGACCTTCCCTTGTATCTAGCTCATTGTATTTTTAATCACCAATATAATATATGATACAGCATGCCTGGGGTGCATGAAGGTTAGATTCAGGAATCAATTTCATTCAATTACCTAATCTCAAATATGGGTGCTTTTACACTGTGAAACTATTAATCACTCTTTTAAGAATAGAGGGAGGGCCAACAAAAAAATCATAAGGGTCTGAATATCTTTCAGCCTAAAAGTG